AGGTGTTGGTTCTGGTGCACAAGACCTTTTATATCACTTGAGACCTGGGTACCTAAAAGATCATCTCACCCAATCACTTAACAGGAGAGGGCCTCCTGCAGATACCATCTATCTTATCAGGAGGAGCTCCATTCCATATAATATAGGAATCAGGCCATTAGTGTGAAGGGTGGTTTCCTGAAAAAAACCGTTCAGCAACTTTTGGGGTGTCCTGGTTTTTACTTTTTGAAATATGGCAACCCTTCTAGTGTGGTGGCACCTACCCTTTGGAGCTTCCTCCTATCACACATCAGACCGGCGCCATCTTTATTGTCTTTTGGGTGCCTATGGAAGACCTCTCCTTTCCGCCAAGCCTTTTAAATGGAGATCTTCATCTCAGTCTGTATCCATATTGGATGTGTAATTGCTTATACATATGGCATTGTTTTTAACTGTATCTACGGGCTTGTTTAGAACCAGCATTATTGTTGATGTTTTTGCTTTGAAATTGCTTTGAGATATTTAGGGGAAGTGATTCATAAATGGAATCAAAGACATACATAAACAGCCAAAGAAAATTCAGCTCAACCTGCCTTTTTCCAGGTCCCCTTCATCTTAGCACAGCTTCTCTTTCCGTTCAAAACATCAACTAAGTTTTAATTTATATATATATTTTAACTGTTGCTATATCTGCATTGTCCCTGTTATACCTAATTGCAAATTCAAATGTACCCCTATCGTGTTTTATTACTTCCTTGATATTGTATGTGGGCTGGAACTGGTCTGTGACCAAAATAATAAAATTCAATTCAAGTTCAAAACATCCTCCACTTCACTCCTTCACTGAGCCTTCACTTCTTCACACTAGGTGCTTAGTACACAACTGCCACACTTTGCTCATTCACTTTTTATGGGGCATCTACACAATGTCTTCATCAGGCCATGGTCCTCTAGTGTTTTCCTGGTGATTCTTCCATCTTTTTTCAGACCATACCAAATCCAACATTTGGGAGGTGAGGAATGGAAGAGAAGTATAATTTCCACAGGTGTGACTCATTCTTAGCCCTGCTTTTGTGCAGTGATGTATTAGACAGAAGAGCCTATTGCAACTTGGTAGGTACTGTCCGGGAAATGCTAATGCAGCTTTGTTGCTAAAGCTATACAGATCTGGGTCTGGTTTCCACCTGGATGGGAGACCACCTAGGAACCCCTTTCTAGCCCACCTTGAGTTCCATAATGGAAGAAAGGCAGAATGCCAATGTATTAAAATAAATAAAAAGTAAACTTTCTGATGGCTGCCATTTTATCACGATGATAGATAGATAGATAGATAGATAGATAGATAGATAGATAGATAGATAGATGATAGATAGATGATAGATGATAGATACGTTTTAGAAATAAAAAATGAATATTTGCACCATAGCAGTGGAAGGAAAGAGTACTATATTGCTAATTAAATAATTGATTGAGGAAAAAACACATTTCTGGGCACCAACATTTCAGTAATGTGTTTTTTCCCTAATTAAAACCTTCTGATCTATATTTCCAATTGAAAACTAATGGCATATACCGGTACTTTGTTCTGTGACATTTTATGGACAGTAACGAGGCCAGCATGCTTCACTGAATAAGCACTTAACTGTTAATTAAATAATCTATTTTAAAGAAAGATTTCTGTAAGTTTGTTAAGGGTGCAGAGACTATGATATCCCTCACAAACCTACAATTTCTAGAGTTCCCTGTGAACAGCAGTTGATTGTTAAACTTCTCTGGGAATTGTAGTTTTGTGACGGGAATATGGAACATCTAACAATTCTTAGCGCCCCTAACAAAAATTATTTGGTGGAAGCCAGGACTGTTTAGTGATACTATAGTGCTTTACATGTATGGTGTGAATGTGGCCTTAGTGTCCAAGCAATGGATATAGCAGTTTAGAGACATAATTTTGTTTCTTATATGCAAAAATGTAGAGTATCTAGAGCTAGGCAAATGGGATGTCCCTAAAGCAATAGAGTGAAAATGTCTGCATAACAAATTGATATACAACTACTACTACTACTACTACTACTACTATTAAAAACTGGTGTTCTGGACAGGGCTTAAATCTGCCTCTCTTGTGAGGCAAGAACACTGGATTTTGAGGCCCCAAGGGTAATTGTGCAATATCTGCAAATGAAAGGTTATGCACTGGAGATGCATTTAGATTATCCTTTTATGTACCATAATTATCTTCCTCTGCTTCTCATTATCTTTATAACACTAACGAGCTGGAAGACTAATGAATCAAATACTACTGCTGTGTCATTGTCACATTTCCAAAGCCCAGCTGTCTGCTGAAGGTGCCCATAGCATAGCAACTCTTGCCTAAGCTGCATGCATGGCTCATTGAAAGAGCTTTTTGACTGGCAGTGGTGGCATACTTTATTTCACACCAGAAGTCTGGGAATCCACATGCACAGCTGATAGCAACAGCCCAGAAGCAAAGCAGACATATTCTCTTCCCCATGTCAAAATGCATCCTTATCCCCTCTCAATGTCATATCATGTTAAAAACAGCAAATGAAAAAGCTTTAAGGCAACTGTTGTAGCTGGGAAGATATACTGTCTGCTCAGAAAATATTCCTCAGTAGCATTCTAGTTTAATTAAAAGACAAACTGTTTGAGGGTTCAGAGCCAATGAACTGACAACTTTGCTCCCAGCAAAGGAGAAATATGCAAACCGGTGGTCAGTTGGAGTATTTTCTGGTATCTAAGATGGGTAGCCCTACAAGGGACATAGGAAACATAAGAAGAGCCTGAATCAGGTCAAAGGCCCATCTAGTTCAGTTTTTGACTTTGGCCTCCATCATCTTCAAAAGCATGGTCAATAGCAGGGGGTGATGGGAGTTGCAATCCAAAATATCTGGAGGGCATCATGTTGGCTGTCATTGTGTTACAGCAGTAGAAAGCAAATTTCTGCCCTTGGATCTGAAACCATTTCCTACTTTCTCAGTAGGACGATTTTACAGGATCCTCTGAACACTACCCATAACAATCTCAAGATTTTTTATGGAGGGAATTTCAAAACATCACAGTTGCTACGAATAAAGGAAGGGCTGTAGATTACTGGCAGAACACATACTTTGCATGGAAAGTATCCCAGGTTCAAGCCCTGATGTCTG